AAAAAAAAAAAAAAAAAAAAAAAAAGAGGAAACCAGTCCGGCAGCGTAGCACTTTCAGTTTCGAAAGGGTAAAAAACACAATGCATGTGGGGGAAGGGGAAAAAAATCGGCTGCAGAGTTTGAAAAGGGTGATAAAGGCAAATAATGACTGCGGCCAACGTGTGATTTTGTTGCCCCTTTTCAAATTTGGTGCGCAGGTAAAATGCTTTTGTCGCCCTTTCCAAACTTGATTGTGGAATAACCAAACTTGCCCCCCAAAAAAGATAAGCGTAATAAGTACTAATAACCTGCAAGATTGCAGACTGAAACCTGCTGTTCTCTGAGTGTTGCTGCTTGCTGGACTGATTTGCTGAGATTTCGGTGTTCTGCTGTGTTTTCTGAGTGTGTGTGTGTGTGTGTGTGTGTATGTTTGTGTGTGTGTGTGTGTGGGTGGGTGGGTGAGTGGGTGTGTGCATGTGTTGTGTTTACTTGTGTGTGTGTGTGTGTGTGTGTGTGTGTGTGTGTGTGTGTGTGTGTGGTGTGGGTTCAAGGACGCCACAGGGTCCGCCCGTGGTGTGCAGAGAGCTCCCGTGGTGTGCCGAGAGCTGCAGTGTAGAACAGCTCCCCCTTCCACCAGCTGGAAAAAAAAAAAAAAAAAAAARAAGCTATTTTTGCTATTTTTCCTTAATATTCCAAACTGCTGTCGCAACAAAACTGCATTTGCTATTCACTGTTTTTTTGCCTATCCGTAACTGAAACCACTACTCAGAGGCAGCGTCGGGAAAAAAAAAAAAAAACGATTAATTGATTGGACTCAGTAAACAGTCGTACCTGTTGACAAGATGAAGGTGACTGTTTAGACAGTCCCAAAAAAAAAAAAAAAAAAAAAAAAAAAGGTTAACAGGATTAGACAGTCCTACCTGTTTACAAGTCGCAGGCTCATGCGCTGGTTTGCGACAGTTCCAGCAAAAGGCATGACCACAAATACACTCCACATTTCGTGCGAGGTTTATGCCCGAAACACCTCCCTCTCCCAAAGTGCTTGACACATTCTCCTCAGATGACTCCCGCTTGTGGTAGACAGCTCTTCCACAACCTGGGAGAGGACACCACCGCACCTGTAACACAGAGAAAGGACCGAGGAAGGAAATTGAGATGAGACCCAATTTATTACCAAACAAAAAAATGCAAGGTAAATAAGCAACAGCGAGATGACAATTCCAGATCACACCATCACATTGAAAGCCATATAGTCACACCGTGTCCAGAGAGCATCATTGCACCAATAATACACCAATGGAGGTTCGTAGCACTGAAAACCAATGTCCATGGAGAGCATACTCTCTCCTCTCAACACAAGAGTCCAGTTCCTTCACACTCACACTTGGCGCTCAGCGCCCAGCCTACTCCTACACGGCTACTACAGACTACAAAAAGACAATGCAACTGTTGACATCAGGCAGCCCGAAGTACTTGAAGATGTCGCCCATGCAGACCATCGCCAATACAAGGTAAGTACCCTCACATCATCATCATCATCATCATCCTTCACCTATCCCCTGACTACACCCACACCTGTCCTCTCTTTCACCCGAAGACCACCCCTGCGCTTCACTGTAGTCCAAGCCCACCAGCTATGGTGGCTGGGCTATGGCGCTGCCTTCAACAGCGCCCTGCTCCTCTGCACGACCGCACGTGCTGCACCTCACCTCCCAGCGCTAGCAGCAGCCCACGAGCATTCGCTCCAGCAGCGCTGCCGCCAGCATGCGAGTGCCTGAATGAGGCTGCCAGGGGGAGAGCTCTTTCCTTTATGGAAAGAGCCGGCCTGCTCACGCCGCCTGGATGGACTGGCCTGGGTCCAGAGGCTTCCGGAAGGCCCCAGGAGGCTGCCTGGATGCAGCAGCTACTGGGCTGCTGGGCCTCGTTCGGTTGGGCGCCCAACTGTCTCTGTATGAGGATGTGAATCACACCCAGGGCCTGCATTCTTTGGAAAGGCCCGGAGGGCCGTGGAAATATCTTTGTTGCTCGGCCTGTGTTTCTCTCAACCAACTGGCGCATCACAACTGCCTGGACCCCAAATATGAAATTGACAGTCGAGGGCCTCCTGCAAAAAGCCAGGCCCGCCTTCACTTAGGGCGGGCACCTCCGCCTTCACTTAGGGCGGGTAATGCTGCAAACAGGGCCCCATAGGCCTACCGAGGACTCCAATCCTCGCATTCCCTCCTCCTTTACTTCGTGAGTCTTCTGAGAAGTCTCTTATTCTGCAGGCATCTTCCCCTTGAGTGCTCTTTCATAGCCTGCGATCACTTGAGGTGCTGTTCTCATTAGTTCTTCTCGTGTGAACAACCGGTCTTCTTTAGGATCCAGATGATGTCTGAAGCTCACACGATACTGCATTCTCGGTTTAGGAGGTCGCCCTTTGCCTGATGGTCGAGGAACAAGCATCACCCGATGCTCAACGATCTGGTCAATGTCCACTTCGCCATCCATGGTTAGGGGCAGCATTGATCTTCTGGAAGGGAACTGATCAGTAGCAGCAAAGGGTGCTAACTTAGAGGCATGGAACACAGGGTAGGTACGCAAGTGAGGTGGGATGCGAATTACATATGAAGGATCATCTGGTTGATCTCCTACAATGTCTAAGATCTCCCAAGGCCCAAAGTATTGTGGCATTAACTTGCGGGATATGCCTAACTCCTGACCAAGTTCAGCAGACTTAATCCAGACTCTCTCGCCTACCTGAAAGTTAGAAGGTCTTCTATGTCTATTCTCAAATGCAATCATTGCTTCTTGAGACTTCCTAATATGTTCAGCGGCCTGCTGCAGCATCTGTTCATACTTGACAGCAAACTCTATGCTGCCAGGTGCTGCAGTGCTGCAGTGGGTTCAGCGGGCTTTCGTGAATACTACACTTGTTCGTATGGGTTTTGGGGAAGGCTTTCGGATATGGGTTAGAGCCATGTACTCAAAAGCGACTGCATCAGTGCTGGTTAACGGAATGCAGTCAGAAGAATTCACATTAACCCGTTCCCTGAGGCAAGGGTGTCTGTTAGCCCCTCTCATATTTGTACTCCAGTTGGAAGTTTTATTAGCAAACATTAGGGCCAATAATCAGATTTCAGGGCTGTGTGTGACCCCTACTTTTCATTGGAAAGGAGGGGCCTTAGCAGACGACCTGACAGTTGCTTGCGAAAACACAGTAGCAAGCCTTTCCGAACTTCGTAGGGTATTAGATGAGTATTGTTTATTATCTGAAGCCTCAATAAACTGGGATAAGTCGGTCTTTTTCCTCCCCCCCTCCTTCGAGCTCTGTGTGAATTGGGGCCTCCGCCAGATCCCAGCAATCTCCTCTGACAGGTTTTTGGGTGTACAAGTTTCGTTTTCAGATTGTGCTGGAGTGCAGGATAATCTGCTGGTGGACAAAGTGGTAGCAAGGATTGCAGGCTGGGAAAGGCGCATCCACCTGTCCCTTTTTGGAAGAGCCTTACTCCTTTCTACTGCAGCCTTCTCGATTCTCTGGTTCCCACTCACTATCCATGCTCTCGGGGATAGCGCATACAAGAAGATCAAGTCAGCTGGGGCCAAGTATGTCTGGAAGCCAGATGCATCAGAGGACCAGAATTTCCTACCTAAAGTAGCATGGGAAGCAGTGGCAACACCAAGGAGTGAAAGGGGACTGGGTATCCTGGACCCTCGTCCGCAAAATGTAGCTCTCCTGGCGAAGTGGCCCATCAAGGCAATAACAGAGCCCGGAGTCAAGACCTGGAGGGCCCTGGCCGAATATATCCCGGGGACAGAATGGGAGCTGCAGGACCATTCTAAAGTTTGGCTATGTTTACTCCTACCTGGGTTCAGCAACCGCCGAATTCAGTCCAAGACTTGGAAAAATTTTATTGGAGCATGGAAGAAGCTCAGACCATCTAAGTCCAAGCCGCCAGTGACCAAGGAGGAAATGCTGAATCAAATGTTGTTTGACAACCCGCTTATCCTCCACCAGGATTGAACTCAGTTCACGACAGTGGGAGGAACGGGCAACTTCTGCCTGGGATGGGCAAAGAAAGGGGTGCTTCAGCTTAGATATATATGGGATGAAACCCAGGCCAAGTTCCTGGATACTGTGCAGATCAAGAGGAAGCTTCAGAGAGTACGCAACGTTGCCAGCAACTATGTGGAACTACAGCAGGGTATACCAGACTCATGGGTAAAAACGCTGCAACCGGATACAGAGCATCCGGCAGGAACCTGGCTCAGGAGTACGGAACAGCCCAATAAAGTGCTGCGGGTTGTGGGTCCGGATTTGGTCTTGGGCCTTAGGGTCCAGAAATGGGAGGGTCCAGCCGTAGGAAAGAATCCCGGCCATCTGTCCTTGATGGATGCTGATGCTATAATTAACAGCACGAGTGATTTGATAGAAGTTCGAGTTCATGTTCAAGGATATGGAGGGGGTAAACAAACGGCAACACTCCTAGGGGAGGTAGCCCCAGGCAGGGCGGAACCGCTGCTGATGGGGTGGGAGGGCCCCGTGAAACAGGGCAAGTTTGTGCCGCTCTATCAATACAGCTCTAAGTTAGGAGTCCAATTGCAACAGAGGAAAACGAAGAAAAAGCCTCTGACTTTGGCCTTGGCCCGGGCCGAGGCTCAGCAGGTCACAGGGTACACAGAACTAGGTCTAGGAAAGCTGTGGCGGGCGTTAAAGGGTTTCCCGGTACAGAAACAAGCCAGCTTAATGTGGCTGCAGTCCTTGATGGTCACTGCAACAGCACTTTGGCTATCAAACAGAGGAATGGATATATCCACTCAATGTGTGCGTTGTAACTGGGGTTGGGAGAACGCAGCCCACCTCTGGTGCTGCTGCCCGATGGCTGATGAAATACTGATGTGGTGGAAAGATCAATGGGATAAAATAGTGGCGCACTCCTTTGAGTGGACGGATCAATGGATGCTTACTGGGTTTTTACCGGTAAGCTTGACATATTCGTAGCCTTGTGTTGCAGGGGTGTGCTAATGGAAGTCATCTGGATGGCAAGGAACGCAAAGGTTTTCAAAGGCGAAGCCATGCCCAAGACTCAGCAGCAGAAGTTAATTAAACAAGGACTGCGGAGGGTGGTGCTAGCGGATTGGTACAGGAAAAATGTTATCTGGTTCCAAAAGACATGGGCATCCAACAACAGACTAGCGTCAGTTAATGCTGAAGGTCGACTTTCTTTGTGTCCCTGGCTTTCGGATTCGCACGATTAAATTTGAGGGACACGTATGGGGTGCTAGCAGTCCGCATTAGGCCTGCTGCAGGGTCGTATGAGAAAGAATGTATTGAGGGCTTCACTCCTTGGAGGATAGAATGCCTAGGGGGGAGTACTTTCACAGCTAGTTTCATGTAGTACTCCACAGGCTAAAGGAGGATACTTCGAGCTAAAATTCTGGGGCTCACCTTTTTCATGGGCTTTATTGATTTACTGTTTGGAAAGAAGTAGGGAATGGGACACTGGACCCGGTTTCCGGGAGGCAGAAGAGTGTATATCAGGAGCAGCGAGTTTGGATGGACGAGCTTGGCTCGTAAGCTAAACTGGCTGAGGCTGCCAGGATAACTCCGGGTAGAATTGTGAGGTCCCCGGCCTCGTCCCATCGACAATTTGCAATGAAATATTTGAGCTTTCCAAAAAAAAAAAGAAAAAAAAAAAAGAAAGGGCCACGGCCTTTTTATATCAAAAAAAAAAAAAAAAAAAATCTGCTATGCACAGAATACGTACATTGTTCGATGCGGCAACGAATTTATTCGCCAGCTGATCTTGGTAGCGCTTGAAGGTGCCGCCATCGACCAGTTCCCGCACTTCCGACTCCGCAAGCAATCGTGCGCAGCCGCCACCGGGACAGCTGATCGCTCTCACCTCTCCATCATTAATGCGCGATGCGGCATACTTCCGCAGGCAAGTGGCGCAAATGGTCTGCCCACAGCAGGGGCAAGGACAGTCAACGACAAGATCGTCAAAGCAAACAATGCACGTGGCTGTCTCTTCCCCTCCCGCTGTTTCTCCCGCTCCCGCTTGCTTTCCGCCCTGACCACCTCCGCCCCCTTCTAGCGTTTTCTCCCCGCCGCCGCCGCCATTGTCTCCTTGCTTCTCCCGCCCTGCTCTCCCCCCTACCTCGTTGTTCAAGAAAATGGAGCCACCGCCGCCGGTGGAAGCACCATCGGCGGATTCCGAAGCAACCATAGCCGTCGTAGCGCCGCCGCCCGCCTCGGCATCCATCTCCCCGCCGGCATCATCGCCGCCGCCGCCGCCACTCTGTCCTTGCTTCTCCCGCCCTGCTCTCCCCCCTACCTCGTCGTCCGAGAAAGCGGAAGCACCGCCGGCGGATCGCAGCGGAGGCTCTGCCTCGGCCTCCATCTCCCCGCCGGCATCATCGCCGTCGCCGGCGGATCGGAGCGGAACCTCCGCCTCGGCATCCATCTTCCCCCCGGCACCATCGCCGCCTCCGCCTCCACCGCCGCCGCCGCCATGTTTACTCCCACCCGCGGACTGGCGTCGAACTCCTCCTTTCTCGAGAACCTTCTGCTTGTCAGCAGCCCACTCGCGCAGCAGCGCCGCCTCCTCCCCGTGGTACATGTCCAGGAGCAGACCCGCGGCCCTCTCGTCTAGCTCAGTGTTGACGACAACACGCGCCACCAAGCTGTCCCGAAGAGCCTTGATCTCCTCCAGATCCCTTAATTGGACAAAAACACCTTCATCGGGCGCAGGACCGAATCCGTTGCCAAATGCAGAAAAGATCTTGGCATCGAGATTGGATTCTGCTCTTTCGTCCAAAACCGCGGGGCCCGGCTGGTGCACAAGTTTTCCCGCCGAGCAAAACACCTCCCGCAGCCGCCGCCGGCGATCTCGCTTGCTCTCCTGCTGCTGCTGCTGGTCAGATGACAGGAGGGGAGGGCGGGAACGCCGGTGAAAAACTCCCGCCCCTTTCGGGCTATTTTCGCGAGAGACCACTGGTGAGGGTGGAACTGAAAATGCATCAGCAGGCGGACCATCTCCCTCCCCTGCGGAAGGGCAGGAGGTCACGCTTTCCATCGCCGCGCCCAGGAGCTTGCTCAGTCGACTGTCGATTAATAAGAACACCGGCTCCTCATAGAGTAGGCCATGATTCCTTGCTCTCCAAAGCCTGTTCATCTCCAGGACGTCTGGTGAGTGCGCAGATGGCTTGGACAGTGGAGTGACCCCTCTTTCCGTTAAAGCGTTCGCCGTACCCTCCTGCGCAAGCCTGTTGGCGCGTGTAAGTGGGGTCTCGCCGTGTCGATCCGCCATCACCAAGTAGGAGTAGTCGAACTGGTTCTCTTCGCTGCTGCTGCCACGTGGCAAACCACCATAGCTGCTCTCTCTACAAGCGTGATTGCATTTGTAGCAGCTTAGTCGATCCCATATGTCTATCAAAGCGCCGATTACGGCTAGCGATTTAGTCCGAATGGCCACGAGAAATGGCGTTTCCCCCTCCTGGTTCTTGACGGTGAGGCTCGCTCCAGCAACTAGTGCTAATTGCGATGAGGAGGGGAAGAAACGAGGGGTCAAATGCGGCTGCTGCTGTTCTTGCTCTGTTGTCTCTACGCTCTTACCTCTCTCGTCGTTGGGCGCCGACGGTCGCTGGACACATGTATAGCCGAAGACGATTTCGAAGACATCGGCTCGCCGGATATCTGTCTCCGACGCAGCTAATTTCAGTTCTCCTAAGGCTGATGCAGTTGTGGAGGCCATCGGCGTCGTAGTCTCACCCCCCGCAAGGTAATGAAGGGGGTTCTGCCTGCCGTCATCGATGTAAGTGGTGTTCCATGTCACTGGGGGCCCATGAGTGAATTGCTTCCCGGCTGTCAGCCATGGTACGGCTATATCCTCAAGTGCTCGGAGAATCAAACTCCAATTGCCCTGGATACACCCTACTCTCAACGTGTGCTCACCCTCAGACACCATCTCGACGATCCTCTCTCTCTCTCTCTCTCTCTCTCTCTCTCTCTCTCTCTCTCTCTCTCTCTCTCTCTCTCTCTCTGTGCTGCTGCTGATGCTGCCGCTTTCAAATACCTACCCCAAGGTAAACCCTACTTCCAAGCGGGAATGACCACCATGCATTACCTCGTTTCAACCGACTTGCACTTTACCTTCGTCCTCAACCTCCTCTCTACGCAATCCTCTCCACTCCTCATCTTCTCTTGTGATCTAATCCTCCGAGGGATGTAGACACGCCACGTGGACTCTGCACCCTTAAACCCATCACCCTTCTTGTAGTCTTTTTACTGACAGGACAACAGCTATCCTCTCCCCTC